GATAAAGAATCGAATCGTTTCATAGAATCGAAAAGGGAATCGGAATCGTGAAAATCTTTTCAATTCCCAACCCTATTAAATAGTCTTAAAAAGTCTTGAATTTAACTTGCCTTATGCTGTAGGGACCCTGCTGAATGTGTTAAATGTGATATATAAGTGATAAAAAAATGCATAAGAAAAAGGGTAATGTCGGAAAAATGTTCTTCTCCATTAAGGTGTTCCAGTAAAAGCAGTAAAAATCATAGTAGTGTTTTGTTTACAGTGGAGAGCAGAAAAAAAAGCTGTAAATGTAGGGACCCTAATGTTTTTTTTTACTGTCCTGAAACCACTTAAATTCCTCAAAACTCTCCTTAATTCTGTTAAGAGCTACAGATAACTGAATTTCTGTGTGTCCTGTTCTTTTTACCGTCATACCAGGCAACTGAAAACAATCCGCTCCTTTTGACGTAAGAAAGCCACCACTGATTGGTTAACTGCAGTCGTGTCATGACCCCAGTCAGACATATAAAATTGAACACAGTGATATGAGTTGTTTTAATTTGTCGGTTGTGCAATGCATCACATCTTCTAGTTCAAACCTGGTGAAGCTCTCTGTGTATTATTTTCAGGTGGTATAATCCTTCGCTTTGTTTCAGGGATGTCTCCCAAACAGCCATCACATCCCTGCCCACTGTTGGCATGGGCTCCCTGCGGGAGCTGAAGGCACGGGATGCCTGGGCCCTCAAGAAACTGCCACCCATCAAGGCCTTTAAGCATCTCGCCACCGCTGATCTCACCTACCCGAGCCACTGCTGCGGCTTCAAAAACCTAAAAAAAAAACGAGGGTGAGCTTTTATATTTAAGAAGATAAATGATGGAGTGTTTTATGATAAGTGTGTGCATATTGTGAAGGTTGGATGATCCCACACATTGAATGGGGGTTACTGCACTTGTAAAATGTGGATCTTGGCATTGATTAAATCAACTCTCTGATGTCTTTACCTATATTCTAGCTGTAATTAGTGTCACTCGCTGATGTTATTGTTTGAAAGAGGTTCATTGCAAAAACAGAACTCCCACCTCCTCATCTGTATTTATGAAGGCTTTAATCACCCACCTTTCACGCAACCATGCAAACAGCAAGTTGCAAAAACATGCATCTCCACTGAGGTCAAGAAGAAAGAGCATTATTAAGTAGGGTTGTCATGATACTAAAGTTTTCAACTCGATACCGATACTAAGGAAAATATTCGATACTCGATACCATTTTCTATACCACAAGACTAAAAACAAAGACTCCAAAATTCTACAGAAATATTTTCATTAATAAATAAAATATAATAAATAAATACAATAAACAATAAGAACAATATTTTGAGGTTGTATGCTGTGCACAATATTAAGCAAGCTTGATAAAAAACTTATAAAATTAAAATTAAGTGTTCCTTCCTTGGCTATGCTTTGCACACATAACAATGACACTAGCCAAACCGGTTAAGAAACAAAAATAATTCTCAGCAGCTGCACCTCTTACAAAAAAAGTCTGAAACTGAAAAGTGCGGAGAATTATTCAATCACACAGTGTTCTGAAAGTGCATTGTCCTCTATTCTGCTCTTTAGATGAATGACTGCTTAGGTGCCACTGGTGGTGGCAATGTATCGATACTTTTAAAAACGAGTATTGTATCCGGATACAACGTTTCAGTATCGATACTTTTTTGAGTATCGATACTTTTGACAACCCTATTATTAAGAAGTGGGAAGAAAGAAAGTGCATGTTCATTTAGCCTGCTCAGACTCCACGATGTGAAACCCAGTGCAACCTACTGTATTCAGAGGTCCGTCTGCATGTCATTTAATTTCAGCTTGTATTGATGGTCTGGAAATAAAGATACCTTTTTAGTCTAGATTTTAATTGATCTGGGAACTCAGAGAAGACTGTTTCACGGTCTGGGTGCTGCCACAGAGAAACCTATCACCTCTGGAACTTGGCCTGGCTTTAAGGACAGGCAGAAGCTGGTCGGCTGATGGCAGAGAGTTGAGTTTAGGGCTTTAACATCTCACTGAAATAAGATAAGTCTTTAGAATTTAAACACTTAAAAGTAATCAATAAAACCAACAGAACAGTAAATCAACCATCATGCCCAGAATTTTCAAAAAAAGGAAAGAAGCAGAAGGAAAAAAAAAGTAGTAAGTGGGCTTTTTGGCTTTTTAAGAAACAGAGCTCATGGGGAGCAGAATATGTTTAAAATGAAGGAGGCAATAATGTTAACTATTTAAAGCAGAGATTCACAAACTTTTCCATCTCTGACCCACAAAAAAGTACTAAAACGGTCTAATAGCCCAAACTACTGGTTGCAATCCAAAATGTTCAGGGAAAAAAAAGCTATTAATCATCTGTATAATAGTAATACAAAAGGCATTAACAATCTATGTATTCGGGCTTTTCCTTTTTTTAAGTTATGTTTTAATGCATTTTAACATTTAAATATGCTGCATCATTACCTTTTTTATTGATAAGTTTAATATCTGTAGAGGGTCTCAAGATGCCATACTTCTATTACACCAAGTGTCTCCATGTGGGTGAGAAGCGTAAAATGCTAAGAAGAAATCTTTCCAGGGCAGCAGACCTGGAAAGTTTAAGGCAAAAGCACTGCTGATTTCCTCAGATCAACAGTGAAAAGAAGATTTTCAAAAACCTTTAAATGCCAAACTATCAATATCTCATCTAACAAGAACATGGTATGACACAAATGTAATCCTACCTAGAGTTGGCTGTCATTTCGATCTAACATGATTGTTCAGGTGATTATTAATCAGAGAAGCAGCCAACAGGCTGATGGTAACTGCAGAGAAGATGCAGACATTTTAAAACTCAGGAAAAGGAAGCTAATTACCTAAGAATTACTGTTTTTCCATGCCATAAAAAATCCACAGATGAAATAATAAAAAAAAGACTTCTGCAGTTTGCTACATGCCATGTAGAGGATGTGGCAAATGTGAAGGTGTTCTATTCAGACAAGAGCAAAGTTCAACTTCTTGACCTTGAAGCAAAACTCGAAAGCCTGAGTTTCATGCTGCCCTTCTTTTCACTTTGTGTCGGTTGGCCCCCCAAAAAAATTCACAACAAAGTATTTTAAATTGTGGTGTTGTGTCATGACAAAATGTGGGAAAGTTAAAGATTGCTGTGTTATTTAGAAAATCATTTATTGGCTCAGTCTTATGGAATAGCATTTTGTGTTTTCCAGCTTTTTGGAGTACATCATCTGTAACCTAACCGCTTTCTACGACCATTACCACAAGCGCTCTGTTGGGCCCCTGAGCATGCCATCCCTCCAAGGGGACGGAGTCGTAGAGACGGTTCCAGGCCAGGAGCAGAGAAACGAAGGTCACGGAGAACTACAGCAAGATTTGAGGAAAAGCGACTTCTATGGAAGCCTCTCCTACCACGCCTACTTTGAAGGACAGCCAGACGGGGAAGTGGGATTTGGAGAGACCCTCAAGAACCCCCAGGAGGACGACAGCCAAGATTTTGACAGTCGCTACGATTATGTGGTGTGCGAGGAGGGAGGGGAGGTGGCGTGTGCTCCAGTGCCCGATGAGTTTAATCCCTGTGAGGACATAATGGGGTTTAGTTTCCTGCGGGTGTCAGTGTGGTTTGTGAGCTTGCTGGCTGTTTTAGGAAACGTGGTGGTTCTCCTGGTGCTGCTCACCAGCCACTACAAGCTCTCAGTGTCTCGCTTCCTCATGTGCCACCTGGCCTTCGCCGATCTTTGCATGGGGATCTACCTGCTCCTCATTGCCTCTGTAGACCTCCACACCCGATCAGAGTACTTCAACCATGCCATTGACTGGCAGACTGGCCCTGGATGCGGACTTGCTGGGTTCTTCACCGTCTTTGCCAGCGAGCTGTCCGTTTACACCCTGACGGTGATCACCCTGGAGAGGTGGTACGCCATCACCTTTGCAATGAGGCTTGACCGCAAACTCCGCCTACACCATGCGGCAGCTGCAATGGTAGTTGGCTGGATCCTTTGCCTCCTTCTGGCTCTTTTGCCACTGGTTGGAGTGAGCAGTTACCAGAAGGTCAGCATATGTCTCCCAATGGACACCCAGTCCACAGCAGCTCAGGTCTACATCTTGTTGGTGTTGGTGCTAAACATACTAGCCTTCTTTGTCATCTGTGCCTGCTACTTTAAGATCTATTGCACAGTGCACAACCCTCAGTACCACTCTGGGTCCAAGGACACCAACATTGCCAAGCGCATGGCCATCCTCATCTTCACTGACTTCTTGTGCATGGCTCCCATTTCCTTCTATGCCCTGTCAGCCGCGCTAAACCGGCCCCTCATCACCGTATCAAACTCCAAGATTTTACTGGTGCTATTTTACCCCCTGAACTCCTGTGCCAACCCATTCCTGTACGCAATCTTCACAAAGGCCTTCAGAGGGGACATATTTATCCTGCTAAGCAAAGTGGGTCTGTGTCAGCAGCAAGCGCAGCTGTTCAGAGGTCAGACCGTCTCGTCAAAGGGCAGCAGCGGGAATTCTCAGGTGCGGAGAGAAAAAGCTCGGAAAGGTGGAAGCATCGGTCACGAAGAGGTACCAATCACCCTAAAGAGTTTCTCCAGACCAACATACCATCGAGGAATTAACCCAAAGACACGTCCCGTCGAGAACCAAGGCCCGGACACGTGAGTCGGACATCAGCTTCAGGAAGTGAGCAGAGAAAGACTCATTTGCAGGAAGCATTGAAATACTTCTGGACTGATCTGTTGAAATGTTTAACAGAAAGACCCCTCATTCTAGACCAGACTCTGGTTTCAGTTCTAGTCTTCTGTATTTTTTATACCTTTTCTAGAATCGTTTTTAGAAATATTTACTGCTCAAAAAAAGTGAAAGTAAGCATGATTTTGTATTTTATTTTCTATATATTCAGTATAAGTGAAATATTGTAAATAAATCATTTTATTTTCAACTGATCGAGGCCTTTATCTAAAGGTAGGTATTGTATTCAACTGCCTGCTGGCTCAGTGCTGTTCAGCTGTGTAAACGTTATACCATTTATTTAAAATAAGAAAAACTCCAGTTTCATTTATTATTAAATTCACAACTCTGCAGATAATGAAACAATGCCATGGAGAAATAAGGAAAAATTACTTTTTTTCTTTGTTTGATATCTGCCTCTTCTGAGAAATAAACAGAGTTCTGCTGGATGTTTGTGTTGTTCAGTTTGTTATAGATGTAAGTATTTGCAGTACATGTTGTTTTATATGGATATATATAGATAATAAAATACTAGTTGAGTTCTGTTCTATCTGCTGTAGACTTTGTGGTGGGAGGTCAAATGGGGATGTCAGCCTAGGTAAACAAAGATATCATATCATTAATGACAGTATGTATGTGTTTGTTCCAATGCAAACAGCCTAGCGGAGTCAAAACCTATTCACACCCATGGTATATTTAGGTTTAAAAGAAGTTGTCAACACCTTAATTTTAAGGGGAAGCAAAATACATGTTTTATATATATATATTAGAGGGATGGCAAGGAGGCCTTACACAATTTGAAGTTAGTCACCAAAGATAGTCAAAATACCTGTGAGAACATTCATAGAGCTACTCCACTGTTTTAAAAGGGGTTTCATAGTTATAACCCCCCATAGGTTTGAAGATTTTAATAAAATGGTAATACATTTTTCAAACTGAATATGTTTTCAGAAAGACAATTCTTTTCGTTTTTCCAGAATTGATCATGCTTTTACATTGTTTTCTAATCTTTTTAGAGGAGCCAGTTCCATTTCTTATATTTAAAAAAATAATGTTGATCTAGACTTGCTGGGTTTATATATAATTATGAGTTAACTATTCCTCACACTTTAGAACCATTGTTTATGATTGAAATAATAATAAAATAATAATAATAAAAATTCATACACTTACTTAAGAATACTCATGTAGAAGTAAATGTATGCATATACTAACACCAGTAGTTTAAGGAGCAGGAATCAATAATTCATTATTTTAGAAAGAATTAAAAATGATTGATGTGAAGAACTCAAGTTACCTCTTTAAAGTGAATAAGGTGTGATGTCACACACCATCTATTGATGTTGTTCTCTAGTTTGTTGTTTGTTGAATAGCGTTCGCTGTCAGATCGGCATACGATTAGTTTTATCTACAGTCACAATTTAAACCACAACCAATGATTTCTATGGTTTTAAATATGACAGTAAAATCTAACCAAATTTAAATTCCCACACACACATTTTTTACTACTAAAGTAACTTATTTAAAATGAATATTGACTATGATGGTTTTAGCTAGAGAGGCTTCTTCTCTCAACATCCTGGAAACTTTAATCATGTCTGGCCGTTTCTGCATCCAAGAAATAGAGCCTAGGCGGAAGTTCAACTGAAGAAACGGATTGCTCCTGCATCCACCTACGACACAGCCAATCAGATTTCAACCACACCTCCATGAAAGCCAATCAGCATCCATATTTCATCTTAAAAGGCCTTTGATCCCCAACTTATCTGCTCCTGGTGGGCAGGAGGTGGTTGCACTGTATGACTTCATTCAGATGACCTGGTTACAACCCACCTCCAGCCCCTCCTCCACCATGGTAGCTAAAGCTTCATCAGAGTGTCATTCCTCCCGGACTCTTACTGCGTTCCCTGTCTCATCTTAACCAGTGCGGCAGAAGACCGCCATGCTGAGCCTGGTTTTGCAGGAAGTTTCTTTCTCAAGGGGGAGTTTTTCCTCTCCACTGTCGCTCCATGCTTGCTCATCATGGACAGGTTCTCTCACCCTGTGTTATCCAACTGGACTTCCATCTTCCAGGTCCCTAGTATCAGCTCATGCAATCCACTGGATCTCCCCATAAAGCTCATCATACCGTCTCGCTAACCAGCAGTCTACAGACTGACCAACTTCCTCTATCTCCACTCCACCACCAGTTTCAGGCCTGGGGGGAAACAGCCCTATTCTTTGCTCCTGTTCATGCATATCTATCAAAATTCAGTGCTTTGTTTCCTGTCGAGGTCTGAGCGCCAAAGACCAAGCAATTGTATAAATAAATTTGTTCTTATTGTCTTTTCTCTTAGTGTGAGTTTTTCAGATTGAAATAACCGTATAATCAAAGCTAATTTTCTTTTTTAAAAGTTAAAAGAAATGTGTATTTGCTGGTCATTTCATTTCTGCTAATATTCAATGTGGGAATAATTCTCTGTTGTGCATGCATATTAGAACACTGTATGCCGATCTGACAGTGCGTGCTGTTCTGACAGAACACCGGCCATGCATGCATGCACATCCCTTTGACAAGCAGCTCCTTAGAGCTTAGCTCCTACATGCTAATAAAATGACATCAGAGCAGCGTAGCATTGGAGCAGAAAGTGTGTTCTCCTGCTGTCAACATTATAAAGTTATGAATTAATTCTTTATAAGATGTTTCTCTGAAAGGTAATGCAGTTTCTCTGTGTATTTATCCTTTGTTAATATGTGCATTTGAGGCGACAGTAGAGAAACGAGTCGTTATCAGTTTGTCCAGAGCAAAGGCTTGTTTCCTAAAGGCTGCAGCCTCTCACCCTGTCTAGCTGTGGAGCTGGCTTCATTCTGAAAAATGGTGTTCCAACAGTTTAGGACTGGCTTCAGCCTTGATGGTTGCTTGGCTACATCTGAACACCAAATACAAAAAGTCTTTTCATAAAATGTTAAGGAATTGGATGAAATGGTTGATATTAATGATACCAAAAACACATCCAAGCTGCTTTTAAGAAGTCCTCATCTGGTTTCTTGGATTGTAACTTAAAGGTTTATGTCAGAAAACCAACAAGTTTAGTGGAAGTCTGACATTTCTGAGAAGAAAAGTGGAAAAATAGCATAGATTATACCATGCCGATGAGTACAGGTAGTCCAGAGTCAATCCACTAAGGCACAACTTATGGAACGTTAACTAGAGTCTATGTCTATATGAACTAAATGTGTGGATTAGAAGAAATCCAATGTAATTTACCAACATCAGCCTTTAGGCCTAAATCTTGGTAACTTAAACACTGAAGCTGATTGTTGTGTAAATATTCCACCCAGGAAAAATAAAACCGGTCATATTTAAAAACCCACAGCTTACAGTCACATCGAGCTCCGCAATCACAGCATGTAAACTCCTGACATGAACTGTTGGTCTAACAGCTGGAAAGGAAAAGCTTTCTGTTCATCATACGTAAGCTTGTAGAGATTAAGAGCAGATTTAGTAATCACTCCTAGATTCCAGGAGAAGTGCCTTTCCTTTTAGATTCCCATGGATTTTTTTTCTGCTACAATTTTGTTGATGGCTTAGCCTTTACTGGGAGCTTAAGTCAAATATAACTATAATCTTGTCTGCAAAGAACTTTACTTGTTAGGTAATACTTTTTTCAATTTGTAAAGGATATTTCCAAAGATTTTCACTAAAAGAGAAGTCCTCACACCTGATTAATAATAATACTTGAGTCAGATTGTAAGAATCCTAACAGGGCGTCATTTACAGCTTAATATTTTCCACATCTATATGTTCCAAATGTCTACACTAGTAATCCAGTTTTTAAACACAGGCCTAAGAGATCTGAGGAGATGATGAGCCTGACTGCTCTCTTAAGGACCTCTTTTAGACCTCTACTATTTACCTACAGCTCATGGTTCCCCCGGTTTGCCATGCCGAAGAAGATTGAAATCAAAGTAGGAGTAAACGTTGGAGAAACACAGAACGACTGGAAGGTGTTGGAGCAGGAGGCATGAACTTTAGTGTTTTCCTGTTTGGGATTATGTGTAATTTCTCTCTGAAACATGGGAAGACTCGTAGTCTAATGGACAGACCGTGGTGAGCGGACCAAACGAGACTGCATTTATTTTCAAATTCCTCCTCCTGCTGGTTCTCAGAACCCGCCGATCATTCCTTTCCCCTTATTACAAATAAACCTCTACCTGAACTGTTCCCCAAATAAGCAAGGCAGGACCCAAGATGCACCTCACCAACAACAGATTAAGTTTCTAAGAGGAGAAAAAGAGGAATTGGAAAAGGATCCAGCTCTTGACCTGAGGAGTGTGAAGTGGCTTGATGTCGTCAGTCCCTACGTTGCTCCATGAGCCGCTCAGCTTGGACGGTCAGGGTGAAGCTCCTGCTCCTCCAAGAAAGCTCTCAGGTGACGAGTAAAGTGGAGAGAAGAGTTTTAGTTGGTTAAAACAGTTGTTCATTCACAAGTGGTTTCGCTTACTGAGCCTTTTACACTTTATCCTGTTATATTTCAACCTCAAAAGACACGTTTCCTGGGACTTACTGTTTGCAAAGTAGTGCAAACAGTAAGTAAAAATAAAAAGAAAATGGTATATCTTGGTTTACAAACAAAAAATAGAAAAGTCTGCTAGCCATAGCAATTAGGGAGCCTTTACTCTGATGTAGACGGAAAGGGTTAGATCCGAGGAGCAGGAAAAATGTTGATGGTAACTCTGGAAGAGCTGCAGAGATCCCCAGCTCAGGTGGGATAATCTGATCACAGGATAACTTTTTATCACACTCAACTGATTGCATTTTATTTGATTATTTATGGTGGATTTAGATGTTTGCTGCATGCTTGAACCTGTGGGCCACCGTAGAAAGATGCAGGGGAATTGTGTAAAGAAGAAGGTGATGAGATTCAAGAAAATGTTCATAGGAGTTGCAGGCAGGGACCAATATGCACTGACTGATAGATACCAAAGACTTTTTTTTACAATCCATCTTTGATGATCACAATGAACCAACAGGAAAAATGAACAAAGCACGATATCTAGATTTTTCAAATAAATCATTGAAAACAGACCAGATTTTCCTAAGTTCCTTCCTGATAAAGCTATGTGCATATTTATACATCAGTGCTGTTTAAATTAATTTATTTCAATTTCAATTCAGTTTATTTAACATAGCTCCTATTGGCAACACGTGTCATCTCCAGGCACTTTACAGAGACAAGTCAACCACATCATTCAGTCAAACTGATTCAAAGTTTTCTATCTAAAGAAAACCAGCTGATTGCATCGATTCTTCGACTCATCAGCAATCCCTCACACCGAGCATGCTTGTAGCGACAGTGGAGAGAAAAAAATCCCTTTTAACAGGAAGAACACTCCAGCAGATCCAGGCTCAGTGTGAGCGGCCATCTGCTGAGGCCGACTGGGGTTCGAGGAGACAGAAGCAGACATACA